ATATATATATACATATAAAGGTATATATGCATTCGTATTTACGTGCCCGTACATATATATATATATATACATATATATATATATATATATTTGTTTGTCTGCACATCATCTACTTAAAGCCTTTTAAGTCAGTGCAATAAAATATATTTTTTAAAATCAGTTTAATTCGATAAAATATATGTTAAATTCAATTAGAAGTATTTATATATATTGATGAATAGATATAATACAGATTTTAACGAGATAAGATGCATTAAATAGTTGTTTTATCTTTTAAATTAATTACCTGTGTCTTATAGAAGCTAAGTCTGTCGAATCGTATCCAAACCCCCCATCGCTCTTTACTGCCATCAGCGGCACCGAACTTATATTCGTAAATAAACACCAAGCACCATCACTACACTGCAACAAACTGGAGCAGCAGCAGCAGCACAGCAGCAGCAGCAAAGCAGCAGCAGCAAAGCAGCAGCAGCAAAGCAGCAGCAGGGAGAGCAACAGAAGCGGCAAAGACAGCAGCAAAGACAGCAGCAGCATAGACAGATATAAAAAAAGAGATAAATAAATAGAGATAAATAAAAATAAACAAATAAAAAGAAATAAAAAGAAACAAATGAGAAAGAGATAAATAAAAACAGATAAATACAAACAGATTATATATTTTATATGAATATAATATATAATATCATGTTTAATAATATATAATATTATATATATTATATTATATATATTAAATATAATATATTTATATATAATATACAATATTATATAAAAAGGGATAAATAAGATATAAATAAAAATAAACAAACAAAAAAAGATAAATAAAAAGACAACTAAAAACAGATAAATAAAAACAGATAAATAAAAACAGATAAATGAAAACAGATAAATAAAAATAAACAAACTAACAGAGGAAATGGATGCAAAAAGAAGAACACAAATAATAAAACAAAGAGAGAGATAAAGATGAGACAACTTAAAATAAAAAAAAACAAAAAAGAAAAATAAAACAAATAAACAAAACAAATAAAATAAACAAACAAATCAAACGAGAAAACAGACAAAAAGAAGAAGGTAAGAACAAAAATAAATTAATAATAAAAAGACGACAAGATGATAATATAAAAATAAAAAAAATAAATTAGTAATAAAAAGACGATAAGATGATAATATAAAAATAATAATAAAACAAAGAGAAGAATACAAATAAGAGCGAAGTAGAACAAAGAGAAGAATAAAAGAATAGACAAGACAAGAAATATAAAATTAAACAAACATACTTCTTGTCTTTAAGCTCCTTAACAACTGGCGGTATCATCTCATTATATGCGGACTCCCCCATCTCTCTCAGGTGTATATCCAGCCTAGCATAAACTTTCTCAAATTCTTCGCGGCTTACTGCGCATATTGCTTCCCAGAGACGCCGAGCAAGAGGGTCTCCTGCTGCAGCAGCAGCAGCAGCAGCAGCAGCAGCAACAGCAGCAGCAGCAGTAGTAGTAGCAGTAGCAGTGGTAGGGCAGGAGAGAAAGAAAAGCAGCAGCAAATGCAGCAGCAGCAGTAAAGATATATACATGCAGCAGCATAAACAGCAAATAAAACAAATAAAAAGGATTATAAAGCAGCAGCAGAGACAGACGGACAGACAAACACAAAAAAGATAATATAAACTGAGAAACAAAAGAAACAAAGACAGATAAACAAAAGCAGCAAAAGCGAAGAGATTATTCAAATAAACAACAAAACAAACAACAAAAGAAAGAAAGAAAAACAAACAAACAAACAAGCAACCCAAACAAACAAACAAATAAAACCCTAAACCCTAAACCCTAAACCCTAGACAAACACAACTAACTATGCACTGCTACGGTGTACGTACACTGCAGCTTCACCACCGCTTCTCTCGCCTTTTGTTTAAACCCCTCATCGCTATCAAACTTTTGTTTTGCTGCTCTGTATAATTTTTGCAGATCTCCAATTGCTGGTGTCTTCTCAGCACAGTCTGGATGCTCCTGTACACACATAAACCCTAAACCCTAAACCCTAAACCCTAAACCCTAATCCCTTAGTAGCATGCACCGAGACCCTGTCATCGGCAAACCAGCAAAGAGAGTTGCTGCACACGCAGCAGCAGCAGAACTACCAGCAGCAGCAGCAGCAGCATCAACGCCAGCAACAGAAACGGCAGCAGCAGCAACAACAATAGAAATATTAGCAGCAGCAGCAGAACTACCACCACCAGTAGCAGGACCAGCAGCATCAGCAGCATCAGCAGCATCAGCAGCCGCATCAGCAGCAGCATCAGCATCAGCATCATCAGCAGCATCAGCATCAGCAGCATCAGCAGCAGCATCAGCATCAGCAGCAGCAGCATCAGCAGCAGCAGCAGCAGCATCAGCAGCAGCATCAGCAGCAGCAGCAGCAGCAGGAGGATACCTCGATGATATATTGAATCAGCATTCCGAATTGGGTGCCCCAATCGCCAATGTGATTAACGCGGTCGACGTCGTGGCCAACGAATTCGAGCAGACGACCTTAGAAAATAAATTAAAAAATTAAATTAAAGACAGAATAATATTATAATCTACTTTGCAGCAAGTGCAGCAAACGTTGCAGCAGCAGCAGCAGCAACAGCAACAGCAACAGCACCTAATCCAGCAGCAAATGCAACAACTAATGCAGCAGCAATAAACTGAGCAGCAGCAGCAAATACTGCAGCACATAGTGCAGCAAATACAAACAGAAGTAGAAACAGCAGCAACTATGCAGCAGATACAGAAGCAGCAGCAGAAGCAACAAAAGAAGCAGCAGCATTAGCAGCAGAATCAGCATTAGCAGCAGAATCAGCATTAGCAACAGCAGCAGAAGCAGCAGCAGAAGAAGAAGCAGTAGAACTAGCACCAAAATCAGTATCAGCAACAGCAGCAGCATTAGCAGCAGAATAAGCATTAGCATCAGCAGCAGCAACATTAGCAGCAGCAGCAACATTAGCAGCAGCAGCAGCAGCAAAATAGAAATGAAGATATTAATTGTAATTGCCTTACATAAAGACTCTCCAATTATAGTTGAACGCAAATGTCCTACATGCATCTCCTTCGCAACATTCGGCGAAGAGAAATCAACCAACACCTTCAGCCTAAATTAGTATAAATAAATAAATAAATAAATAAATAAATAAATAGGTAAATAAATAAATAAATAAACGAATTGTTCTAAGTTGTATTGTACTATGTTAATTTGTTATACTAATTTAGCAGTTAGTTTATCTACAAATTATCAATTTAAGTCTACACCTTTAACCTGAATAAATAAATAAATAAATAAATAGATAAATAAATAAATAAATAAATAAATAAATAAATAAAGTAATTAATAAATAATTAATTATATTTGTTATTTTTATTAATATGAAACAAAGACTGGAAATAAATCAGTGAAAGTTGTTATAACATAATTAATAGAGAATAATGCAGACAAATATATAATACATAATATAATATATATAAATATAACTTAATCTATTATATATATATTCACATTCATATATGTACACATATATATATATACATATATATATATATATGTATATATTTGCATATATATATATATATATGTATATATACATAGGCAGAGGCAGGAGCATGCAAAAAGAAGCAAAAAGTGAGACAACAAGAAACAAACGCTAAACCCTAAACCCTAAACCCTAAACCCTAAACCCTAAAAAAAAGTACTTTTTTTCTGCAGTTATCTTCAAAGGGTTTGACAGAACATTGCGAAGTTTATCCGCCAAATACGAAGAGCAAATGTCGACCGTTATAAATCCTAAACACACAAAACCCTAAACCCTAAACCCTAAACCCTAAACCCTAAACCCTAAACCCTAAACCCTAAGCTCTAAATAATAAGCCATAAACCATAAATACGCGCAAAACGCACAACCCTAAACCCTAAACCCTAAACCCTAAATCGTAAATATTAAACCCTAAGCCATAAATACACACAAAACAGTACCCCATAAACCCTAAATCCTAAACCCTAAACCCTAAACCCTAACCTTGGGGAGAGGTTTCTACTCTGCTGAAAAGGCTTGTCTTTAAATGCTCTTTAATTTTTTCTGCTGTCTCCTTCGGGGATTTGAGATTTAACGCAGTTTTATGACTTTTAAATAGAGACGGAGCGCTATTACCTGAATAAACAAATAAACAAATAAATAAATAAATAAATAAATAATAAATAAATAAATAAATAAATATAAAATAAATTAAAAAGAAATAATAGAATGGAAGTTAGAGTGAGATTAGAAATAAATCAAAAATAGAATAAATAAACAATAAACAAACAACAAAAATAAAACAAACAAATAAATAAATAAATAAATAAATAAATAAAAATAAACAAATAAAAAAATAAACAAACAACTAATAATAAATAATAAATAAACAATAAATTAAAAATGAATTAAAGAGAAATTAAAAAGAAGAAAAATAATAAAAAGAACAAAAGGAAATAAAATAAAGATGAGTAATAACCGATGCGCTGACAGTAATAAAATGTTAATATTAATTAAAATTAAAATAATATTAGTAATAATAAATAATAAATAATAAATAATAAATAATAAATAATAAATAATAAATAATAAATAATAAATAAAAAAGAAAGAAATACAAAAAAATAAACAGAGAAAGACAGAAAAAAATTAAATAAAACGAAAACCAAAAGGAGATAACACAAAAAAAAGAAGGTAGAGAAAACGCACAAAACCCTAAACCCTAAACCCTAAACCCTAAACCCTAAACCCTAAACCCTCAACCCTAGAACCATAAACCCTAAACCCTAAACCCTCAACCCTAGAGCCCTAAAGCCCAACACCCAAAACCGTAAAACCCTAAACACTAAAACCCTAAAACCCTAAACCCCAACACCCAAAACCCTAAACCCTAAACCCTAAAACCCTAAACCCTAAACCCTAAACCCTAAAACCCTAAACCCTAAACCCTAAAGTCTAGAGCTTACACTGAAAGTCTCCGAATTTGGAATATCCTACAATTGGTTGGTGTTCAACGGAGGGAAAGGCAGCAGAAATTGCCTCATGAAAGGCTTGGCGAACCGCAGCACTCAAACCCTGCGCATACACCCTAAACCCTAAACCCTAAACCCTAAACCCTAAACCCTAAACCCTAAACCTTAAACACGAGGTCTAGGCCGTAAAGATATACCCTCAACGATAAGCCTAAACCATGAACCCTTCTTATCAAGGAAATAAGAAAAACCCTAAGGATAAACCCTAAACCCTAAACCCTAAACCCTAGAGAGGGCATTCAGCGCACCTGCATTTTGAGGTAAAGGAGTTTAGACCTGAAGAAGATAAACAGAGACAGCAAATAAAACAAAAAGAAATAAACAGAGGCAAAAAATAAAATAAAAATAAAGAAGGTAAAAGATTCAAAGAAGAGACAGAAGGAGACACCTAAACCCTAAAAAGAGACTTAACCCTAAACCCTAAACCCTAAACCCTAAACCCTAATTTCTCAGCCCTAAGCCCTAAACCCTACGAACCGCAGACCAACGCATATTCGAATCTTAGATCTAAGCCCTAAACCCTAAACCCTAAACCCTAATCAGGCAAAGGGAAGCAACAGGAAGGCAGTCTCTTGAAGAGTAAGGTAAACCCTAAGCCCTAAACCCTAAACCCTAGGCCTTAACCAAAAGCTCTGCTCTATACTAAAGGGTTCTTTTGCTGCCTCCCTGCTTGTGTTGTTATCTATTTAGAAACACGCCTGAATCACCTGGGGTTTAGGGTTTAGGGTTTAGGGTTTTCGGTTTCGCTCGTAGAGGCAGAGGGCAACCGCTATTATTGCGGTGTACAGACAAAAGACATTGAAAAGAAAAAACAAAATAAATAAAATAAATGATTAACTGAGTTCAGAATAACAACAGCAAAAACCCCACAGGGGGCCCCCTGCTACGCCATCGGGGGCCCCTCGATCTACTGCTGCTGCTGCTGCTGCTGCTGCTGCTACTGCTGCTGCTGCTGGCTTCTTTTGTTTGAATTGCCGCCTTTCTTTGTTTTTCCTGTCTTATAAAAAGCAATTTTATTTTATAAATTTATTTAAAGACGTAAAAAGTATATATTCAGATAATAATAATATCTGTCTGCCCTGTATTTATGGTGTATGTACACCGCAGCTGCGGTTTATACTTCGTTTAAATCTTCACAGAAGGATCTCCTCTTCTATGATGATTTGCAGCAGCAGCATCAGCAGCAAGAGCTGCTGCTGCTGCTGCTGCGGTGGCTGTGCTGCTGCTGGATCGGCTGAGGAGTTGGCGGCGGTTGAGTGCGTTGCTGCTGCTGCAGCAGCAGCAACAGCAGCAGCAGCAGCAACAGCAACAGCAAAGAGGCTCATGCAGCTGCAGAACGCCACCACTCGCTGCTCCTCTGCAGCAACAAAGGCGAAGCCCTGTCTCTTGCAGGAGCAGCAGCAGCAAATGCTTGCTGCTGTTGCTGCTGCTGCTGCTGCTGCTGTTGGTGCCCCAGAGAAAGCAGCACCAGCACCAGCAGAAGCAACAGCAGCAGAAGAAGCACCAGCAGCAACAGCAGCAGCAGCAACAGCAGCAGCAGCAACAGCAGCAACAGAAAAAGGAGCAGCAGCAGCAGCTCTAACCGCAGCAGATGATATCTTGATAGACACCGTGGAGCCGTTGCTTTGGCAGCTGCAGCAGCAGGTGCTTCAGCAGCAGCAGCAGGCAGCAGCAGCAGCAGCAGCGACTGAAGCCCTGCAAAATCTATGTAGCAGCAGCAGCCACAGCGGCAGGTGCAGCAGCAGGTGCTGCAGCAGCAACAGCATCAGCGCGACCAGCAGCAGCAGCAGCAGCAGCGGCAGCAGCAGAGATAACAGCAACACGAACACTGCAAGGACGGCACCAGCAGTAGCTCCGTGTGCAGCAGCACTTTGTGCTGCCACTGTGTCTTTGCTGCAGCGCGACGCAGCCTTTAAGCTGCAGCTGCTGCAGGAGGTCGCAGCAGCGGCAGCAGCAGCAGCAGTAGAAACAGGAGCAGCAGCAGCTGCTGCTGCTGCTACAGCCAAGGCCGCACGCCTCGCTTGGCTGACTCAACCCTGTGCAGCAGAGCTGCAGCAGCTGCTGCTGCAGTTGCGCCGCAAGCAGCAGCAGCAGCAGCAGCAGCAACAGCAGCAGCAGCAAAAGCCGCAACGGCAGCTGACTGCACAGACAACTCGCGTGCCTATTACTTGAGTCGGAACATCACCACTTGCAGCAGCAGCAGCAGCAGAAGCACAATTAGAAAGCGGTGGAGGTAGAGCCGGCTAAGGGTTTAGGGTTTAGGGTTTAGGATGTAGGGTTTAGGGGGATCGGCTAGCTAGCTAGCTAGGTGCGAATGATAGGTAGGCGGCTAGCTAGCGAAGTAGCTAGCTCCCTAGACCGCTGTAAGAGTGACTAGCTAGCTAGCTAGCTAGCTAGTAGGTGGGAGTAATGGCTAGCTAGCCAGCTGTCTAGCTACTAGGGTGAGGTGCTGGCTATCTACCTATCTGCGTATCTCTTTAGCTAGCTAGCTAGCTAGCTAGCTAGGGTAGAGGAGGGGCTCTGGGTTTGTTGTCATGGGGTGCTTGTCTATTCATTATGAAGAGGGAGAAAAAAAGCAGCAAACTGCCGATAAAAAAGAAATTAGAGGATAAAGAAATGAATTTATTTGCAGATTTTTAAACATATTTATCGATAGCAGCTGCGGTGTATGCACAGGTTGTGCTGCTGCGGTGTCTCTGCAGCTTTCATTTTTTTAGTGCGAATTTTGGAGATATTTTCCCGAAGTAAGAAACATTTAATTGTTTTTTATTTAATTAAATATAATTATTTAATTTAATTTCGTTTTATAATCAAACATAACGCCAAACACTCCTCCTAAAGCCTCTTATTTACCCCTACCGCCTCCCCCGTCGTGCAGTACCGAGCGGTCGACGGTACAAGTTTGTTTTATTTTCATTTTTTTTGTTTTTTTATTTATTTAATTAAACATATTTTAATATTTGTTTTTAAATTAATAAATAAATACAAAATATAATGAAGAATACCTGCATATACACCCCGCGGAAGCCAATCGAACGAGATCTCCAGCGCAGTGACTCTGCTGAAATATATTCTTTTTTACTACTTTTTTTTGTTGTTTCTTGTCTATCTTGTTGTCTAATTTTATTTAAACTAAAATAAATAATATTTCAAGAAAACAATGGATATACACCCCAAACAACCCCAGTCAAACCCGCACTAGGAAAAAACACAGCACGAATAACCTACTAGGGTTTAGGGTTTGAGTCGCAGTATGTACAGACACCGGAGCTTCCTTCCCCCTCTTCAGGGGGCTGCACACTCTGTTGAAAATGCAGCAGAGACGCCAACTGCTGTTGGGCCCCTTAGGAAGCGCTGCAGGCATGCAGCAGCAGCAGCAGCAGCAACATCTGCTGCTGCTGCTAGCCATCAGCAGGAAGAACCGCAGCATTTGCTGCTGAGCTGCTGCATCTATCCAAACAGCAGAGCACGTGGACTGTATAGGCACCTCAAACCCCCAAAGACTCAATTGAAGATAACAGCTACCTCTCGCCAGCAGCAGCAGCAGCAGCAGCAGCAAGCATTATTAGCACAGTATAGTTGGAGGCTTCCAGTTGCTGCCTTGCGAGAGGCATCAATAACGAAGGGGATTGAAACAGCAGCAGCAGCAGCAGCAGCAGCTACTGCTGCTGCTGCTGCTGCTGCTTCTAGCGGCTGCATTTGCACAGGTCCCTGCAGCGGGGCAGTCTCTTCTCTGGTGAGAAAATATACAGGAGTTTGTTTGCTTCATTTTTAAAATATTTATTCGCAAAGACATTAAAAAGATGTATTTAGGCCTCTTGCGTCGCTGCTACTGAAGTGTACATACACCCCAAATACCCGGTCTCCTTCTAAGCCCCTCTGCTGCTGCTGCTGCTGCTGCTGCTGCTGCTGCTGCTTCTTCTGGCTCTGATGCTGCTTCAGGTGCAACAAAACAGCAGCTTTGCTCCATGGAGGCCCTCAGCAGTAGCAGCTCTGCAGCAGGGGCTCCCCTGGGACCTGCAGCAGCAGCAGCAGCTGCAGCAGCAGCAGCAGCAGCAGCAGCATCTTGGGCCCCCCCTAAGTGGTGGGGTTGTCTCTCTTGGTATGCCTTCATTGCTGCCTTATATGCTACCTGGTGTATCTCCTTTGCTTTCGTTTCCTGCGTTGCGCCCCGGAGCAGCAGCAGCAGCAGCAGCAGCAGCAGCAGCAGCAGCAGCAGGAACTCTGCGACAGCAGCAGCGCCTTGCTGAGTTACCTTCACCCCCCCCTGGCCATCCACTGCCTTACATTGTTTACTCCCCCAAACTCCGCAGCATTGTCGTACACTTCGCTCTCCCTCCTCTAAACCCTCTCTTCTCCCACCAAGGGGGCCCCCAAGGGGCCCCCCCCTCAGGGGCCCCCCCAGGGGGCCCCCAAGGGTCCCTTCCAGGGGGCCCCACAGGGGTGCCCCCAGGGCACTTCCCAGGGGGCCCCCAAGGCTCCCCACAGGGGGCCCTACAAGGGGCCCCCCCAGGGGGCCCCCAAGGTTCCCTTCAAGGGGGCCCCACAGGGGGCCCCCCAGGGGCCCCCCAAGGGTCCCTTCAAGGGGCCCCCACAGGGGGCCCCCCAGTGTACTCCCCAGGGGGCCCCCCTGGGGGCCCCCATGGGGGCCCCCCGGGGGGTTTGGAAGGGGCCCCTTCAGGGGGGCCTTCAAGAGGGGGGTGTATTAGCGTTGGGAGTAAAGGAGGGTTCTTGAGAAGTGTGCGGAGCCGATCGTTTGCATTGGGAGGAGGCCTCTTTTGCAGATTATTCAGCAGCAAAAGATATGGAAGGCCTCTAGCTGAAGCACTAGCGATGCAGTTTGTATCAAGGCTGCAAACAGAGCTCCTTGGGGGGCCTCCTCACCCTCCTCATACTGCTGCTGCTGCTGCTACTGCTGCTGCTG